AAAAAATAAGAGACAAATCAAGAATCAGACTCTTAATTATAGAGAACAAACTGATAGTTACCAGAGGAGTGGTGGGTGGGGGAAATGGGTAAATGGATGATAGAGATTAAGGAGGGCACTTGTGATGAACACCAGGTGATGTATGGAAGTGTTGAATCACTATATTGTACACCCGAAACTAAATATAAAACTGTATGTCAACTAACTAGAATTAAAAACTTTTTAAAAAGTTAAAAACAAAAACCCACAGCAAATCTTAAGGTATCTACTAAGAAAATCGAGATTCGGGGAGTTATAGTGACTTACCCAAGGTTATACAGCTAGTCATTGGTGGAATCAAGATTTGGATCAGGACTGTCTGACTTCAAGCTCATGGTCTTTAGATGCCATATAATAGTGTCCTTTTCAGTTGGTTCCTAACTCACCGGTGACTTGGGATCATTCCTGTGAAGGTACAAGGGCTTACCAATTTCTGTGCCCACCTCTGGAGCTCTTCTGCATGGAAAGGGGCTGGGTTCTGTTCACATAGAGATCCATGGGGTTTCCAGAAAATCACAGGCCAACAGAGCAGGAAGGAACCTCTTGTGTCATCCAGACCATCCCCTGCTTTACAGATGAATGAGTTACTTACACAAGATCACACAGGCAGAGGGAAATAGTCTTGAATCTGCTCTCTACCTAACACTGCCTTAGGAAGAAATTGTGAACTTTGCTGGCAGATCTCATTTATTCATCAAATTGTTTAGCAGATTTGAGCCATTTATATAAAATCATGAGATTAGTCAATTTTAATCAAATACAGTATGAAATAGCCAAGGATAGGTCTGTTGTGCAAACATCGTCCAGCCTCAATTACCAAATGGCCAGCCCCTCACGTTTATCACAAGAAGCATTAAATTTCTTATATAACTTATTTTCTATGCCAGCATTTTGAACAGTAAGAAATAAGGGAAAGTGTAATCTGTTCTTGTCACAGAAATTGTTACATGAAAAAGGAAAAACACATCAAATTTCCACATCCATTCTCCAGACTGAAAACATGGTGTTCCTCCATAATAGCAATAGCATCCTTAAAAAAAAAATTGTAATTTCCCTCCCTCTTCCCAAAGGGAATCCCTGTTAGCAGTTTCTAAGTATCCTTCCAGGGGGAAAAAAAATTGTCATATACTAGCCTGTATATAGGTTTTATTCTTTCACAGTTAATTCTTTTATCCACCTGTGATTTTAATGTAGCCTGTGAAATTATATAATTACTTTTATTAAATTGGCAATCAGTTTTGGCAATCGGTTGGAAATGGCTGGTTGCCCTAATCATTCTGTAAGGCTGAGATACCCTCTCCAATCCTTGATTGAAACCAGTGTCTACCTATAGAGTTTTGGCTAGAATTTTTATGTACCTCTAAGCCATGTTCATTGTAGGAAAGCTTCTAGTTGGGCACATTAGGCTCTTTTGTAAAAACAAATGCACAGAAGTTATGTCTCTTGCCCTCTGGTTTCTGTTATCCAGTGTGTCCACTGCCTTCTCTGTGAATTGGATCACGGTTGGCAACAGTGACCTGAATTAAATGAAGTAAAACATTGAAAGGAAGATAAAACCCAAAGGTGATATTTTCTAAATTGTCTTAAATAACCTGAACTTAACCATGAGGAAATAACAGACAAGCCCAAAGTAAAAGACATGTTACAAAACAACTGGCTTGCACTCTTCAAAAATGTCAATGTCATGAAAGACAACGAAAGATTATAGAGTGTCCTGGATTAAAGAAGATTCGAGAGAGACGTGCCTGCCAAATGCAGTAGGATCCTGGGTTGGGGGAGGGAAGGTTACCATGAAAGACAGCATTGCACTAATAGGCGAGATTGGAATGTGAGGTGTATATTAGATAATTTTCCAACGTTAAATTTCCTGCATTTGATAATTGCACGGTGGTTAATCCAGATCTCCTTTTTGATGATATTAGCAACCAAGATTCAGGAGTTTTAGCCCACTGGAATCTTCTGTGGAGGAAGAAGAAAAAACAGCCTTGTTTTCCAGTAGCTTGTAAAAATACTAACTGACATGGTGAACTGTGGTGCCCCCTTGTGGTGAGAGTTCCCTTCATTCTCGGGACTGACTTCAAGAACTGGAGACTTTCACGGTCACCTCACAAATATTTTTCAAAGCCTATTATGTATCCAGCATCTGCTAGATGTCGAGGATACATAAGCTCCTTGTGGAGCTTCCAAGCACACAAACAAATATGGAATCACATACGGAAAAGAGGGTTTGATGGTGTCCTATTACAGAGGTTGATTATCTCTAAAACTTGGCGTGAAACAGAAGGGAGGTGTCCCTGTCTTTGGTTCATATTGAGTTTGGGGCCACCCTTCCCCATGGCTGTTGGACATTACCCATTCTGGACCAGATGGTCTGGGTCTCTGCTTCCCTCATCACTACTTATGATTGGTAATAATACAGTTAGTGCTTTCCTAGCTGTGACTTAAAATAATAATTTTTTTAAAGTACACCTGAGAAAAAGTGAGATCGCAGTAAATCAAGCCCACCTCTCTAAGGGACACTGTGTATAATTTGCAGCCGCAGAGGACCCGACAGACCCCACCTGTATCAGTGGCCAATGGAGAGTGCCCTTCTCCCTGCCTGTTTTGTGTGTCAGATTGCTCATAGAGGCGTCTCGCTTCGAGCTGTAGACAGCTGGATTAGTGACCTGAGTGAGAGGCTTGTCTGTGGTGCTCATGATTGTCCTTTGTGTTGGAGGCACTGAGCAGTGGCCCATGGTGAGGGACACAGGAGAAAGACAGTAATGAGGTCACGATGTGGAGGTTGGGGGCTAGTTTACCCAACCCAGGTGATGAAACAGTGTTGCACAGAATCACCCACATGGTCTGGTGGACTGTTTGAAAAAGGAAGAGGACAGTTTGCTCAAATGGACACAGTTCTAATATTTGGAGAACTCAACTAAATAATAGATAATAGCAATGCTTGTAGAATAGAAAATGTGTTTCTAAGTGTTGGGTGTAGAGATTTTAAACATTTTATTATGGATAGTGTCTTAAACAAAAGGAGAGGCAGAACAGTGTCATGAGTCCCATGTATCCATCATCCATCTTCTACTCTCCCCTGGATTATTTTGACATTGTATAACTTACGGGTGTAATCGTAATTGTTGACAGTCATCTTTTTTTTCTCTCACTGGAAGAATATAGCTCTGCGATGTTTATTTGGGTTTTGCTGGTTTATCTCGCCACCCCCCACCCCTGTGAGGAAGCATAGCATAGAGAGTCAGAGCATGGGCCTTGGAGCCATAGTACCTGGGTTAGAATTGGGCTCCGCCTTCTGCCATGTGACCCTGGGCAAGTTGGTAAACCTCTCTGGGCCTCCTGTCTGTAAATGGGGAAATACAGTCATAAGTGTGTGTCTGCTCTCCCCATTGTTACTCTATAGGACCTCTGTGTGCACTAATAGGCTGTTTTCACACCTGCTTCTTATTTAACCCCACAACAATCCTGAGGGTGCCATAGTATTTTACTCATGAGGAAGCTGAACCTGAAGTAGGTGAAATCAGAGGTTTGCAGACTTGTCTGTGGGAGTCGTCTGGGGAGCTTAACTGAGGCCTGCTCCACCACGGAGACTGATTTAATTGGCCTGGGATGTGGCCGGGCATTGGTATCGTTAACGATCCCCAGGTGACTGTAAGGTGCAAAGACACGTGTGGAAACACACTTGGGAACCTAGAGGCAGGCAGAGCCCCCAATACTATAGTCCTGAGTGAGCTTTCTGCCATTTCTGTGTGCTGATGTTGGCGTGGGAGCCAGGACGTGGCTGGGAAGGTTTATCATCTGGTTTCCAGGGCCTCCCAGAGCCGAGCCCCACCCCACACCCTCACTGATCAGAGCAGATTTCACACCAGGCATTATGCGGAAAGTTTTATTTGTGTTTGTCTTAGTTTTAATCCCAAGTCCCTAAACAAAACAAAAGAAGGGAAAGTAAAAACTACAGAGCCTCCGTCCCATTCCAGGGGCTGTCTCAGGGGACAGGATGTAGCAGTAGCAAAAACCAGTATTCTTTGAATGCATTTCCATCTTCCGCTGGTCAATGAAAATAGTTGTTGATGTTTGTATCAGTTCTGTATTGCCATAGTGATGCTAAGTATCGATGACAGAATCTCAGTGGCATACAAAGTAAGCACAGCTAACACCTGTGGGTCCCCTGGGGGTGGGCTGCTCTGGGCCAGAGTTGCTGGGCTGGGTGGCTCTTCCTTACGGGCCCAACGGGCTAGCCAGGGAATGTTCTCTCATTGAAGGCAGAGGTACAAGGAAACCAGCCTTACTTCTGCATGAGTGGGCTGGAAGTATCCCCTGGGTCATGTCTGCTCATGTCCTGTTGACGAAAGCAAATCACATGACTGAGCCCAAAGTTAAGGGGTAGGGAAATATGCCCCATTTGCTTTGAGTCCAAGCACTTCACATGGTCAAGCCTAACATGAGTGGAAGGGACTGCACTCCTCCAGTGGAAAGGACAGGGTGGGTGGTTTTGAACGGGAATCTGTTACAAATGAAAACCTGGAAGTTGCTTTCGTAAGTATTTATGGTAGCAGAAAGTTGCAACAGTTTTAGGGATTAAACACAGAAAGATAGATAAAATAGAACACATATACACAGTAAAACACAAAGCAGCTATTTAAAATGATGTAGCAAATATGTCATTGAAAATTATTCATGCCACAAAATGGGGGAAAGCAGATTATGAAATGTTACGTTGCCAATTCTGAGAAGAACTATGTATATTCATATTTCAGTAGGTTAAAGACGCATGCCAAATTGCTAATGATCGTCTGTGGTAGAATTATGGAATACTTTTATTTTCTATTTCTACTCCTGAATTTTCTACACTTTCTGTGATGAATATACATTACTTATTGCAATAAGAAAAACATTTGAAACTGTTAGATGTGGAAGTTAAGATTAAGCATTCTTATTCTGTCTTTCTAACCTGTCAATAGGCAGCAAGATAATGGAGAATGGCCTTCTCTTCAAAGAGCTTCTGCAGACTCCGAATTTTCGAATTACTGTGGTTGACGACGCAGACACTGTCGAACTTTGTGGTGCTCTTAAGGTAAAGTCGGCCTTGTTACTTCTGCTCAAGGAGAGGAGCTAATATGCCCGGGGCACTGTCCGAATTACCAAATCCAATCCTGAAGAGTGGGCTCTGTGTTCTGTGCTTGTACTTGAGAGAAGAATACTGAATTGAGAGCCTTGTGTATCACTTCCTGCTTTGCCTCAGCCTGTCCTGGGTGGTTGGACTTCCTCTTCCAGGCCGCTTTGCTTTCATTTGTAAATTGGGGGGGCGGGGGCGGGGGACATGTGGTGTTTTGTTGTTTGGGAAATTGGCAGCATTGCTATTTAAAAAGCATGGAGGGTGTCTTGATTGTAGAGTTTCACAGGGGACCAAAGCATTCTTTTTCCCCCCCCTATGAGTTCATGTATTTCTCTTACACATTGTCTTGAGTGGGGAAGGGACTTACTCCCTCTGAATTATGATACTCCTTTGGTTTGAAGGCTTGGCTCGTTGTTCTTTTTAAAGGGAAAATAGTCTGCTGCTGACAAAGGCTTTTCTAGGAATAGTTTTATCTTTATCCGTAAAGGGAAATGGTCCAGTGAAAGAAGAAGCTTCTATTAGTCGGTGGCTTGGAAGGGTAGAGGGAAGAGTTTCCACACGGGCTCCTGACCTGTTCCACTCTGCCTGTGGAAGTCTTCTTGGTGGGGTGGGGGGGCCCTCTCTAGCCTGATGCTGGGCAACAGCCAGTGGGAAGCTGCGCTGCACTTTCTGATCCTTCCCCCCCCCACCCCAACTGGAATCAGCTGCCTTCTCAAAAAAAAAAGCCTCGGTGTGAATGAATGCCCCCCTTTGAGGCACTTTTGAGTCCTTTCTTTTGTAGCAAAAGCCGCTTTTCAGGAATTTGAGCACCTCAGGAAGGAAGTCAGGCAATCGGGCTTGGGCTTAGGCTTTGTCAGGTAAAAATTGCAAAGACAGAAAGTATGCCGCAAAGATGAGAATCCAAAGAATGCCTTCCCGTTCTTTCTCTCGATTGTACATACGTCCTTTTTTCTCGTCAGAGTTTAAAACCACTTTGTAGAATTCATATCGCATGTGTTTGTGTGGTCACGTGTCCTTGTACAATGAGGATTTTAAGAAGGAAAGCCAGTGAAAGGCTCGGGCTCCCCTGGGGGCAGCACACGACCCCGTTTTTGAGTGTGTGGGGGGGCATTCTTCACGTTACGGGCAGGCCCTCTTACACAGTTAAGGCACTGGCTTTGGCTGCCTTGTGTGTTTTTTTGGTTGAGATTTTTATGTGCTTTTAATAGTCCTTCATTAAACTAATGACCACTTGACAGCAGGGGCATCATGAACGCCTAATTGCTCAGCACCAGCTTATGTTGCTCCAAAACAGTTTTTAAGTGACTGGGTATTTTTGGTGGTGGATGGAGAAGCTGTGAGATCCTGCCCAGAACAAAGAGGGCTTGGGGGAGAAGAAAGATTCTAGTTGGAGGGTTCTGGAAAAGATTCAGCTAATGGGACCTCATGCTGGTTTTGTGTCTGAACTTAGACTGGCTTTTCATTTTTGTTGGCAGGAAACCTATAAGTGGATCAGTGCCTGCTACCGGGACAGAGCGTGGCTCGTGGGGGGCAGAGACAGATGGGGGTGGAGGACCATTTATCTTCCTTCCTCTGGCTATCCTTTGAAACAGGATCATTTACCATCATTCCTGTCGGCTTGCATCAGAGCTGGGATTTTTTAAAACTGAGAAACGGGCATTTTTGGCTGTAACTGAGTCTAACCATTCAGTCATACAGATAAGGAGACAGAGATCCAGAGAGATTAAATCACTCAAATGTAGCAAATATGGACACAGTTGGTGTGTGAACGTGGGCTCCAGGAATCTTAGTCTGGTGTTCTTTGGTTACTATGTACAGCCTGCCTTTTTTGGTTTGTGTCCAGTTGAATAAAAGGAAGCCCTCCTTTGTCAGAGGCTGCCAAGGCAAGGACAATTGGACATCGTTTCTTTTATTACATAACTAATAGTTTCTTGTTTTTTCTGATTATAAAAGTAGTGCACATTCATTGTGCTTCACACAGCAGAAGGGTATAAAGAAAGTGAAAATCACTGATAATCCCTACATCCTCAGATCACCGCTGTTGATGTTTTTTCTAATACCCTTCCAGTCTTTTTAGTGAGTGTATCATATATATGTGGCCCCTTTTAAAAACAAAAACTGGATCTTACTGTTCAAATAGTTTGACATGTTTTACTCTTTCACATTAAATTAATAGTCTTTAGTAATCTCCATTCTAGCAATCAAAGAAATGTACACTCTTTTTTGGTGCTCAAAAACATAAGGGCATTCGAGTACCAAAAAAAAAAAAAAAGGCGAACAGCTCACTACAAGGATAAAACCAAAAAGAAAATGTAAAGGTTTTAGGCAAAATCATTTTGTAACAGTGCATTTTACTGCCTTCAGAATGTCCTTTACCTCTGATCTGTATTAATCTCCAGTAAGGGAATATCTTTTTAAAATATCCACTTTATTTAAGCCGAATTCATGTACATTAAACTGCATCTATGTAAAGTACCTAATACAGTGGGTTTTTGTTTTTTTTTTTTTTAAGATTTTATTTATTTATTTATTTTGAGAGAGAGAATGAGAGACAGAGAGCATGAGAGGGAGGAGGGTCAGAGGGAGAAGCAGACTCCCCGCCGAGCAGGGAGCCCGATGCGGGACTCGATCCCGGGACTCCAGGATCATGACCTGAGCCGAAGGCAGTCGCTTAAGCAACTGAGCCACCCAGGCGCCCAATACAGTGGGTTTTAACAGTTGTGTGCATATACCCTGAAAATCACTCCCATAATACAGAACATTTCCATCATCCCCAAGCGATTCTGTGTGTCCCTTTTCAGTCCCTACCCCAGCCAGGCAGCCACAGATCTATCTGCCTTTGTACACTGCAGTTTGCATTTTCTAGAACTTTCATAATGGAGTTGTACAGTATCTACTCTTCTGCGTGTGGCTTCTTTCACTGAGGGTGTATTTTTGTTTGTTTTAATGTAAATTTTAATTGGCACTCCTTACAGAAAAGCACAAAAATCATAACTGTAAAGCTCAACTTACCATTTTTACCAGATGCTTTATCAGGATTAGGTTTCATTAACAGAGACCCAAGATGGTAGTGGCTGAACACAGTAGAAGTTAATTTCTTTCTTACGTAAAAAATCCTGAATCCATGTGATAGCTCCATTCTACAGAATTCTCAGGGACCCAGGCTCCTTCCTGCTCACAAGGGTAGGCCCTTGTCCTCATGTTCTAAAATGGTGACCAGAGTTCCAACCGTCACGTCTGCCTCCCAGGCATTAGGGTGGGAAAAAAGAAAGGATAAACGGCACGTGACAGCTGTCCTTTAAGGCAAGTTCTGGGGAGCCACAATGTAATAATTTGGCTTCATCTCAATGGGCAGTACTTAATTGTGTGACTATACCTAGCTGCAAGAGATGTTGGGAAATGTTTTTTTTTTCTCCCCCCTCGGTCAGCCATATACTTGGGTGAAAGTCAGGGGCTCTTATGACACTGGAAAGGGAAAGTAGATTGGGGCATAACCCCAGACCCTGTGTCCCAGCCACATGACATTCCCTTGCAGGGCTGTTCTATAGTGAGGTTAAGCAGCCCTGATGTCTGGGCATATAAGTTTCTTCCCAGGGCTTTGGCTGAGATAAGCCTCGCTGTGAAGCACAGCCTCAGGCCTAGTGTCTAGCCAGGGCCGCTACTGGATCCCACTAGCCATATGTGGCTGTTTGCATTTACGTTCGAATTAATTAAAACTTAAAAAAAAAAAAAAAATCAAGAGTTCCGTTTCTGAGTCACAGTAGGCCCGTTTCAAAGACTCCGTCGCTACATGAGTCTTCAGGGAGTCTCAGTGGCTAGTGACTCCTCTGTTGCCTGAGCAGACAGAAAACATCTACATCATTGCAGAAGCTTCTACTGGACATCACTGCTCTAGGGTGCCCTGCCTGGTGGGCTCACTGTGGGCTTGTCCCTCAGCCCTCCTTGAACCTCAGCCGGGCTGCCTTCTGCAGAGCCTGACCTGCAAGCCGTAACACGGTGCCTTGCCCGGGGTCAGCCTACACTCTGCAATCAGAGTTTTCCCTTAGGCCCAGAGCTCTAGGAGCTGGCCTCGGGCAGAATCAGATGGAGCGCTGCCCGTACAGGAAACAGTGACTGCTGCCTGGGTTTCACTGGTGCCCTGTGTCCTGGGTGGTGAGAGTGTTTGCATAACCCACAGGTAGCCTGGGCCGGGCAGCTTCTCTGCTTTTGCATTCTTCCCACGGGGAGGCTAGGAGTGGAAGGAATGGAGTCCCATCCAACCCACCCCAGTTCAGAATTGCAAAGACGGAGCTTCAGGGCGAATGATTGCCTCTGAGTATTGCCATAACCCAGGAAATGGGGAAGGGCCTAAGCACGTCCATCTTCTGAAAATCATGGTATTTTTAGCCCCAGAATAGTTTAGAGCAGATTTAAATGCACGGTGGATAATGATAACTTTCACAGCTGAGCGATCTCGTAGGACATCTGCTCGGATGCTATTCAGACACAATCTGACTGGCTCAGTGTGTTTATTTTTCTTTTGACAGTGATAAGTGGTAGAGGGAGAGAGTGAGGGTTTCAAGATCCATCATAAGGCGATTAAACTGGATCGGTGCCCAGGGTCCCCTTGGAAGGGAGGAGTTTACCCTGCAGTGGCCTCCTGCTCCTCTCTACCTCCCCACCGCCCCCACCGTGGGGAGGTCAGCCATCTAGGGGAAACTGAGGTAGTCCTCATCCGTGTGCCCTGCGGTGAAGGGGTCACAGAAGGGCCAAGAGAGCGGCTGCAGTCCCAGGCCATGGGCACCCTCATCTGTCTTTTCTCTGAGAGCAGTGACACGAAAGGTCAGAAGCATTGCTCTGGAGCTCGGGGCTCATCCACACAGCTCCTGCTCGGATGCTTCCAGTGACTGAGAGCTCACTCCACCTCCAAGTCCTTTTGGTTGGGTGAGGTCAGCTCTTCCTGTTGGAAAGATCTTATCTTGAATCTGAGGTGGCCCCTCTGTGCCTTTCATTCACTGACCTGGAGCAGCACTGTGTGATCTACCCCCCTGGAGAGAACTCTGGGGCCAGGCAGCCTGGTCCTGCAGGTACCCCCCGTGTGACCTTGGGCCGGCTACCCACCCGTGTGTGGGGGAGTTTCCTCACCTTGCCCTGAGCATAACCATGGGGCCCACCTTGTAGGAATGTTGTGAAGATTAAACCAGTTAATAGTACTGGAAGCACTTAGAGCAGTTCAAGAAGGTTAGCTGTTATTTTCATTATTTCCCCCCAAAATCTGTTCTCCTAAGCCTACCCTTTTTACCTCCCAAGCCCACATGCAGGCCAGAGAGGCACTCCCCTTTGACATCTGATTGCAGAGGGTTCAGGAAGGTCTCCGACCCTATGGGGGGCTGGGGGGATGGCCGGGCCAGATTTGCCACACCATGGAAGAGGCAAGGCGCAGGGAACAGAGTGGGCCTGGGAAGCCAGGCCCTGGGACGGCATCCCTCACCAGCGAGAGGTGTTCTCGGTAAGCCGCTGAACCTCCGTGAGCCAGCCAGGAGGCGAGGGACATGCGTGTCAGCGTTGTCATGAGAATTCAGAGGAGACCGTGTGCGTGGTGGGCGCACTGTAGGCCCTTCGTAAGTAATCCCTCTCTCCTCCTCTGTGTCTAGGAGCCCCTTGTTGGAAGGAAGTCATTGTATCTCTCAATCAGTCCGGAGACAGGTACTGAGGTTGGTTCATCAACTAACCTCCAGAATGGGTCACGTTGCGGTGAAGGGGGCACTGGAGACGGTCCAGGCGGCGGCAGAGAGCCATTTCAGCAGTCACTGTTTGGATCCTAGGCCTTGGCATGTTGCCATGGCAACTTCAATACAACCATTCAGCATGCTCACCCAACAGTTGGCCTCTTGGCCTCTGTGCTCAGTCGCCCTGCATGTCCCCAGGTGTCCTTTCGGTGCCACAGGACCGCCCCTGCTTATCTGCAGCCTCGGGGCAGGCCACAGCTGCACCAGCTTTCCTGGAGGAATGTCACCACCAGAAGGGCCTTGAAAGATTTTATCCATGCCCTGAATTTTATCCCCGAGGCCCAGAACGCTCAGAGAGGTGGAGTCATTGTCCCAAGGTCGCACAGCAAGGAGGCAGAGAGAGAACCGCAGGCCGGAGGCCACCCGGCTAGCAGTGCATGTGCTTCCAGTGTCTCCCCCTGGCTTCCTTCGTCCAGCGGCTCTGCCAGAGGGGTGTTTGGGTCTGTCTGGACCCAGCCCTTGGGGGTTCGTACCATCCCCGGTTCGCCGTTGCATCGTGCCCCACCTAAAAGGTTAGGGGGTTGTTTCACCCCTCAGCATCTCGGGGCTCCTTCCCCACCGCCTCTCCCCTCTCCTCTTCACATGAGGCTGCCAGAGCCTAAGAGTGTGCCAAGCTAGGAGCTGCCCGCTTCCTGCATCAGTGAGCATGCGCAGCAGGTGCCTGGTGAGGGATGGGTGCTGTCGGGGGCTGATCAAACCCAGAGCTTCTATTAGCTGCGTGGGCAGGAAGGGGTTGGGAGGCTTCTGCAGGTACAGACAGAAGTTAGTACCGTAGGAAAACACAGGCTCTCTGCTCGGGCCATGAATGCAGAAGACCCGATTCCTCGTCAGCTCTACCTGCAGCTGTGGGCCGCGGGGTCTACATGGAGTCTGGCCTTTGTAAGGGGGAGAGTGATCCACCTGGAAGCTACTTTGTTGGTCTGTTAGAACAGCCCATAACCTCACTGGGAGACCCTCTAGAGCACAGAAAGAGAGCGAATTTGTCTAAAATTTGCACGTGCTCATGCCAGCTTTCTGATCATTTTTTAGAGAATTGTTTTACTCTTCCCTTTCCATGTCAATAGCCACGAGAATAGCCAGCAACCAGAGTAAGCCCTGGGATTATTCCCGAGGAAGAGAACAAGA